CAGAAAATGTATTGACTTACGAAAAAATGTTTAAAATTTACCTTAAACGTCTTCAAGCTTCTATCTTTTTCTGTTTTTTACTTCTTCATTTTATCTTTGGATACCAAACAAGGTATTGTCAACATTGTCTGATCAGCCTTTAGCAAAATAAGTGGGTTTTTACCCTCTGGCTACCCCCCCCCAAATCACCCACACCACAGGGAGCCTAGATTCCCATGTATTACCGCTGCTTCATATTGAGCCCTGAAGTCTAACCACGTGACCCAAGTCCATCCACAATATTTCAAGATGGCGAACGGTGAGTATAAACGTGTCTTGTCTCACGTCCAACCAGAAAAAATAACTAAAAATCATTCCTTTTTCTCCAGAAACGAGCACATACCAAGCTTGTCTAAAGACCCTCAGCCTCAATTCAAAAGAACTCAAATATTTCGACGTAGCGAGTTTAAATGAGGAACGCTTCGGTGAGTCTTGTCGTGACTTCTACTCTTATTGATCTCATCTTTCTCGATGCTCTTATGTAATCGTCATTTTTTWAATTTTCTTTTCTAAACCCTGGTCATTAAATCTTTAAAATACTTGAAGTAATAACTTTGCTAACTTTTCTTTCCAAAGTGTCTTTTAAAAGGTTTCAGGTTTTTTTCTTTTGTAAAAAAAAGCTAATTCCCCCTGTTAATAAATGCATAAACAACAAGCTTATTATTTTTGGTGAAGAATTTTGACTACAGAAAAGCTTTACTCCCTAAAGGATTTTATTTGTTATTCTTTCTTAACTAGTGCAATATAAAATCAGGCTTTCACTACATCTATTAATTTTCAACCAAGTTTATATATTACTGTAGTCATTTGTAGTGATAATCTTAGTAAGCTTATATAATTATGTAGTACACACTTGTACATTGTGGTATTTTGTAACGCAAAATGCGTGAACTTAGAGTTCTGATAAAAATAAAAATAAGAATATTCCTGTTTTAAATTTGTATTCACATAACCAATGTTTTTTGTTATTTATTTTGTCTAAAAATTATTATTATTTCTTTGGGGGAGAGGGGGGATAGATTATCTTTCATATCATGTRATGTACAAAGTATTAAAGTGATCTCAGACGCTAATGTCAAGGTCCATATATTTAACTGGTACTAAAAACAAGATCATCTTGTTTTGAAACAAGCTTTTTCAATTCCTAAGTCATTATTCTTGAACTTCAACTCCTTTTACAGTTACAATTTCAGAAATATACAATTTTTTAAATTTCTGAACTATCCTTTGAAAATTTAAAGAGTTCACCGTAGATCCTTTCCTACAAAATAAATAAATTCTATTAYGCTTTGTGATTGAAATATCTCTTTAACTGTTAGAGTATTTAAAATGCTAACATCACTTTTTTTATTTCATACAAAAGGTAAAACAGAATTTTTGTTATTAATGTTTGAGCTTGTCATTAATGTTTTTAAATGATATAGAATAAAGCACTTTTCCATTCTRTGCTATAAGATAGAATGGATAAATCACTTTTTTTTATAGTAGGATACCAATTCTATATAGGGGTAATGGTTTCCAAATTTGGCCGATTGTCACTAACACACTGTACCAATACATGAAGTATTCTACATTATCATATGACCTGTATCTGCCCGGGCGCACGCTCTTAAAAAAACCTTCAGGAAAATGGCGCCAGCAGGGCCGTACGCCCTGCTCGAAACCTGCAACCGTATTTTCTTTCCTTTCTTTCATTATTTTTCTTTTCGTGAGGGTCATATGATAAAATGCTTATTGACTGAGTTAGGTTGGGCTGTACAGGAAAATATTTGGCATCACCTCGAGCCAAATATTTTCCYGTAYGGCCCCCTCACTCAGTCAATAAGTACATAGTATGTTAAAATATAAACATATGAAAGAATCAACTCCTAAAAGTGGCATCACATGGTCTGAAATGTGCACAACAAACAACGAAGCTATAAATGTCTATTGAATTTTCTTCTTTTTCAACTTCTTTTTTTAGCTCGCTTGCCATTTTCCATCCGCGTGCTTCTTGAATCAGCAGTTCGTAACTGTGATGGCTTCCAGGTTCTTCCCAAGGATGTTGAAAATATCTTGAACTGGGAGGAAAACCAACAACATAATGTAGAAATTCCTTTCAGGCCGTCAAGGGTTGTACTGCAAGACTTTACGTAAGTTGGACATTCCTATCCATGGAGGCTTAGAGTGCCTATCAACTGTGGCAACACCATCAAAACTAGCAAATCTGACTGTTTTACCTTGCACTATAACCAATAAATTAAATTTATTTTTCGATTGCATGTTACATCATTGCGGCCATGTTGGTGCCATTTAACAAAAGATTTCTCATTAGCATCCATTGTTAATGGCACCACAATGGCCGCCATGCTTTTGTCTTTTGAGCTACCCATCAGTCATTTTGAGCGAATTCTCACACTGATATTCTATGTTTGATAATGTCACTTTTTACTAAGATCCATGRTGATTTAAATTTGATATTTTTTTTAATATTAAATATCTCCATAATGAAAAGATATATTGACAGGGTTCGTGCTACTCCTTGAAATCCTTGAAAAGCTTTGGAATTCAAAACCCATTTTTAAGTGCACTTGAAAAGCCCTTGAAAATAGCAAAGTTGCTGGATACTCCTGGAATTGAATAAGCCTTGAAAATGCAACGGAATGAAAATAGATATTGACAGGGTTCGTGCTACTCCTTGAAATCCTTGAAAAGCCCTGGAATTCAAAACCCATTTGTAAGTGCACTTGAAAAGCCCTTGAAAATAGCAAAGATAGCTGGATATTCCTGGAATATGCCTTGAAAATGCAACGGTTACTTATTTATTATAATCATCTACTGTAACCTAATTTTTGTTGAAAATCCATTTATTACTTAAGTGAATAAGGTAATTAACTTATATGCTATTTTCCATTATTTTATGTCAATGATATGGTGCCCGAAAATAACGTATTGTACCTATGCATTAAGAAGAAATTCACAAAGAAAATTGATCCTTGATAATCATAATTTTGGACCTTGAAAATTCCTTAAAAAGTCCTTAAAAAGTCCTCGAATTTTGTGTCAGAGGCGTAGCACGAACCCTGTATTGAAGCAAAGTAAACACCATTCTTAATTTTTTCAAAGGGGTTTCGATTCATTAAGAAATCCTGTAGGGCTGATAGATACTTTAAATTTTCGTGTGGACACCACACAGCACTACATTTAATAAACTAATGTTATTCTCAACTTTTTTTTTCAGGGGAGTGCCAGCAGTGGTTGACTTTGCGGCAATGAGAGATGCTGTCAAAAGACTTGGTGGTGATCCATCAAAGATAAATCCTCTTTGCCCGGCGGACCTGGTGATTGATCATTCCRTCCAGGTGGACTTCACAAGAAGGTAAGGTCTGTTTGTTATTATTACAAACATTAACAAATGTCTTGTTTAAGTAATACAGGGACTTCGGAGCCCCTCCTCCCCCCCACCTACCCACACACACTTTTTAAGAAACGTTATCAAAAAAAAATCTAAAAATAAAGTCTAAATTCTTATATCCAAAATGATGAAAATTTAGTACAAGAAGCATTTGCTATACTAGCATATTTCAATCAATAAATCAAATTTGTTAAGCAACCTGATTGTCATTTTAGCTCCCACCCCCTCCCCCTTTAATAAAAAAAATATGCTTCTATGCCCCTTTAAAGCCCTGTTTACACTAGTGAGTTTTGCGGCAAATTTTTCTGYGATTTTTTCGGTGATTCTGTCCATAATAAATAATGGTAAAGACTTTACTTGTAAAGTTTTATTCAGGATACCAAGATTTTCCTAGATGAATGTCTCTTTCGAAGGATGAGACAAAAGATTTTATATTTCCGAAAATTGCCACAAAAATCGCAGCAAAAATCGCAGCAAAAATCGCAGCAAAAATCGCAGCAAAAATCGCCGCGAAAATAGCCAGTGTAAACAGGGCTTAAGTATTACAGTCAGTTTCACTTTCCATGATCGGGCTCTGATCTATGTTGTAAAATTCCCAATGTTGGCGATCAACTTCGGAACAAAGTTCATTATAAACTTCTGGGGTGCTTACAATTTGAACCAATCCATCTTGTTGGAAATTCATTTGCTAAAGAAAAGAGCAAAAAACTTTGACTTAAAAAAAATATACACGCATCTACTGAAAGAACTGAAATGAGCGGGRAAAATAAATTCCCAGAACTTTCCAATTGGAAAGATGCACCATTAACATATTGTTTTCCAACCAGAATTACGGGTTTGTCTAGGGATATGGCAAGCACACTAGAGATTTTGAATTTGGTTTGGTTTAATCAAAGTTCGACAGTATACTAGAAAAAAAATGTATTAGGCAAAACAAAAAGTTAAGTGTGTTTCCTGTTGCATGAGAAAAATAATAGTGTGGGGTTGGTAGGTCAGATTTTTTTTACTGATACAACAGCTTACTGGGAACCCTGTGGTGCATTTGGGAATGTATTAGACAAAACAAAAATGCATTAGGCCAAACAAAAAAATAAGTGTGTTTCCTGTTGCATGAGAAAAATAATTGGGGTCGGTAGGTTTGATTTTTTTTACTGATACAAGAGTGGAAATGAGCTTACTGGGAACCCTGTGGTGCATTTGGGAATGAAAAAAATTWAATATTAGGGTCAGCAAAAATCGGCAAGAAAGTTAGGGTCGGTTGCGCAACAGGAAACACACTTTTTTTTTGTTTGGCTTTATGTGCCCTTCTCTCAAAAGCAGGGGAGGGGGGGTTGGTGGAATAAGGGCAATCCCTAACCTTAATGTTTAAACCTCCTCTCCCCCCAAAGTGAGCTACCCAGACAAGTCCAATGTGTAATACTCCACTGTTTGCACAATTTTCCAGTCTTCCAAGCAAACTGTATGATCCAGGTGGCGTCTGGCCAGCCAGAGAACATAATTGCCCGTTTCACGATCTGCCTTGTGAATGGTGGGCAAAACATTTGTTCCTTTTGAGTTTAATGGTGAACTTGCATAAAATTTAGACCATAATTATCTTCCTCTTATTGATTCACTTCTATGAGATTCTTGTCAATAAATACATTTATTTTTTCCATTCCGGTATCATGAAAAATCATGTGTTCTGATTGGCTGTTTTAGCAGGCGGTATTTTGTCAGTATCTGCCCGCACTTGTGGTCCGGTATTCTTTGTGAATATTGAATGGGTAGAACTGTGGTGAAATAATGATAGATGTGTTGATCATCACAATGAATGAGCRATCTAAGCGGATGCTGTAAAGAAAGACTTGAAAAAATGATTTCAAGCTTCAACAGGAATCGAACCCATGACCTCTTTGCCGCTAAACAACAAAACAAAACGATTACAAAAACTAGTAGAAAAATACGGGGAAAAAACAAATAAGTTATTTACTGTCCTATAGTCAGTCCAGATAGGGAAAAACTGTGCCCTTGGTCTTGAAAACGACCTATATTCAAGACCTCGGGCACAGTTTTTCCCTTTCCAGACCTCCTGGCCAGTAAATAACATTTATGTACTGCTGACAATATAACCAAATGTGCCAATGTGCAGACAGCAAAACTAATAGGCCTGTTTTGAATTTGTAAAATACCTTGACATGACCACAGTATTTCTTATTCCAATCTCTACTTTACTTTAAAGTACAAATTCTGTAACCGGGGCCACTTAAACCAGTTAGACAAGAGAACCAATTAAGGATGAAAACAATGCATTCCAACTTTGGGTAGTTGAGCCAATCAGAAAACTAGAATGCACAAGAATTGTAATTTGTCCCTGATGTTATGTGTAAACAACTAGATAGCAATCGTCATTTTCTCGTGGGAATAAAAGGATATTAAAAGGCTATTGTTTTCTACTTCTTTCTGATTGGCTCCACTATCTTTAATGGGAATGTAGTTTTTATTCTACAATTTGATTGGTTCTTGCTGTCTAAGTGGCCCCGGTTATAGTAGTTGCACTTTTAATCATTTACTTCTATTCCACAAAATTAACATCACCAAGGTGTAAAGTGTGTGCAAGTTTGCCATCATGCTTAAAATGTTTATAAGAAAAATAACAAAAAATAATATGATACGTTAATTCTATCAAAAACTAAAATTGTCATAGCATCAATTATATTTGTTTATCTGTACATTTTTTTATTCTTGAAGCGAGAAAGGAACAACACAATAGTGACGATAGCCAACTTTCGATATTCTTGTTGAGTAGTCAAGCACAAATCAATCCGAGTCAAGGCTCTTGGGAAATATTAGCATTTATCTTTTTCCGGTCCGGTATCCCAAAAAATTGTGCATTCTGATTGGCTGTTTGAGCAGGCGGTATTTTGTCCGTATCTGCCCACGCTCGCGGTCCGGTATCCTTTGCCGCTTAACAACAAAACAAAACGATTACAAAAACAAGTAAAAAAAATRCTGGAAGAAAATAAATATGTTATTTAYCGTCCTATAGTTGGTCCGGATAGGACCTCAGGACTCTGATTGATTTGTGCTTGACCACTCAGTTCCAGAAGGTCAAAAGTTGACCATTGGTTGCTAAGTTCTTTGGAAAAAGAAATTTACCAGAAGAACTCTACAATAAACACTATGTGTCATTCTCAACTGCTTTACTAATAACAGTACTGGTTGGCCAGGGCTTAATTTTTCTGGACATGATTTATTTATTTATTTTGTTTAGTTCTGGATCTCTGCAGAAGAACCAGGATATTGAATTCGAGAGGAACAAGGAGAGATTCCAATTTCTCAAGGTAAATCATCTCCCACATTACAGCAATAGACCATATTCGAATAAATGCCCTTTGATAAAGTCCTTTTTTCACGAGGGTAGCACTTAATAGCCAGTGGCTAACAAGCCTGTGGCCCTAATTCCGTGATCAAATTAGAATTTTTTTAGGAGTTGATTTTTTCGGAGGGAGGAAAACCGGAGAACCCGGAAAACCCTCGAAGCACAGGAGAGAACCAACAAACAACTCTACTCACATGCGACACCAAACCCGGCGGGAATCGAACTGTTCCTTGATTACAGACTCAGCCCCCTATTTACAGGGCGAATGACAAATAAAAATGGCGACCAGTTTGAATAACTATTGTTCTGGACTGAGCAGCGACTGACTAACCTCACATATTTGCATCTGAAAATGCTTTTATGTTTCTATGTAAACACGAGGCCAGCCAGATGCTAGTCAATGCAGCACTATTCTTCGTTTGCACATCATGTCATCGTGGCCATGTTGGTATCATTTAACAAAAGATTTCTCATTAGCATCCATTGTTAACGGTACCACAATGGCCGCCATGTTTTTGTCTTTAAGCTCTCTGGGGAATGTTTGCAGCCCATCAATTGGTCCCCATATTTCAATTCGGTTTAACTCATTTCAATAAAGTTAGTCACCGAAAACCTAGAAGGCTGAAACTGTCGAGGACCATGCAAAACATTTCTTTAATTTCTAATGAGTAAAACTTTTGATACCAACTGCAATTTGACGATGCTCACAGGAGGTGAGACTGTAACTGGTATAAGATGTGCAAATAAAGTACATCAACAGTTATCAAGCCATTGAAACATGTAAAATGTATCTACCCCTAGTCCTTGCCAGTCTCTGCTTTGTTGCTTTTCAGTTGAATAACTTTAATGAAATAAGTATATTATACAGTGACAAGTAGTTCAGAAATGTTGATGTCTTTTTGTTGTATTTTAGTGGGGATCTAAAGCACTGAAGAACCTGACAATTGTTCCACCTGGGTCTGGTATTGTTCACCAGGTAAGCACACCATGGATTATCTGTTTCAAATTCACCTTTTTGGCACTAGATTGGATTGTGTTACAATCAACAAAAAGTTAGGACATTGTTGTCGGATTCCCATACAAATTCACTGACTTTATAAAGAGAAAATTTAGGTAGATTTCTTTAGTTAGCTCTCTTAACAGCAGTAAAAAAAAGCTTCAATCAAGCTAGAAAAATGATATTTTACTTGTATTTAGAGAACTAACTAAACAAACCAAGTAAATAGTTCAATTTAAAGTCAGTACATTTGTACGGAAATTTAAGAACGACGTCCGAACGTTTTGGTGACAGTAACACAATCTAAAACAATGTATACTCCATGACAGCTAGCACCGAAAAGGTGAATTACTCAAATTCAAAATCTAGCATTCACAAATTTCAAACGATTTCACAGACTTGCAAAGCATAACAAAACTCAGTTTCTCATAGCAAACTGTATTTGCCCAAACTACGATGAAAGAGTCCATTTAACAGTTCCCTGCGTCATCTTGAAAGGTACATGTAGCCGTGCCTTTGAATCGAAGCGAGACGAATGGTGAGCTTTCAATGATAGAGACCTTTTTTTAACATCTTGGACAACTATTCACATGTCTCTATCATTGCAAGCTCATCGCTCATCTTGCTTTGATGCAAAGGCACGGCTACCTTTCAAGTTGACGCAGGGAACTGAGTGAAGGGGACTACTGGTAACCAAAATGTCTTCCCCCACCTATAAGCTCACTATCTTTTCTATTTGATATGCACAGGTTAACTTAGAGTATCTTGCACGTGTAGTATTCAATACTGATGGTATTATGTACCCAGACAGCGTCGTCGGCACTGACTCACACACAACTATGATCAATGGTCTTGGGGTTGTAGGATGGGGTGAGTTTCAAATCACATTTTTTWAATTTTCAAATTGTTGTATTTTGCTTGTATCACACACTTTTAAAAATAGTGTTTACGAAGTGAACGCCAAATGTTCAATAGAGATTGCATGGTCAAAAACACTCGCCGTTTACTACTATTTTCGTTGAAGTGCAGCCTCGATTGATATCTGGTTTGCYGACTAGCATTTGGATGACTATTATTTATAGAACTGATATAAAATCAAACAATATCTTAAGGATAATTTTTGAGGATTGTGTAGTTCCAGAAATCATCCATACCCACCCCACAGAGGAATTTGGAATTTCCGAAGAGTAGGGGGGTCAGAGAAAGAACAAAAATTACAGAATGYGTAAGGAAGAAAATTGGAATTTCCGGGGGGTAGGGGGTGTCTTTTAAAAATTCCTCTGTGAGGGGGGTATGGATAATTTTTGGAAATACACATTAGATGATTATAATCCTCAATTCAGTTTTAAATCTCCCTTGATTATTAATTATTATTACGATAGGTGTTGGTGGTATTGAAGGAGAGGCCGTCATGCTTGGACAAGCAATCAGTATGGTACTACCCAAGGTTATTGGGTACAAGCTAGTGGGTACCGCTAACCAGTTGGTAACATCCACAGATATTGTACTCACAGTAACTAAAGTAAGTATTTTTATTTCTTATTCAAGAGTCAGTGTTTCTTCCAGTCTCCTTTTCTCCTCTCCTCTCCTCTCTTAACACCTTGTCTGTTCTGATCATATCTTTTGTATATTTATYTTCTTTCCTCTGTTCTTGTCTCCTTCCCTTCCCTCTCCATTTCCTTCCCCCCTCTCCTCTCCTCTCAACTTGTCTCATCAAGTCCCACCTCTTAACTCTGTTCTTCTCTATTTSCCTTTCCTTTCCATTTTCTCCTCTCCTCTTCCCTCTTGTGTCTCATTGTGTCTTGTCTCTTATCTCTTTTCTCTCTCTTCTCTCCTTCTGTTTCCTTTCCACTTGTTCCTCTCCTCTTCTCTCACCTTGCGTGTCATCACATCACATCCCATCTCTTTCTTCTGTTTTTCTCTCCTTCCATTTTCTTTCCATTTTCTCCCCTCCTCTTCTCTCTCCTTGTGTCTCATTATGTCTCGTCTCTTATCTCTTTCCTCTCTTGTCTACTTTCCTTTCCTTTCCTTTCTRTTTTCTCCACTCCTCTTTTCTTGCCTTGTACATGTCATCACATCTCATCTCTTTCTTCTATTCTTTTCTCCTTTCCTTTCCTTTCCATTTTCTCCTCTCCTCTTCTAACCTTGTGTCTTGTCATGTCTCACCTCTTTCATCTCTTTCCTCTCTTGTTCTCTCCTTCCTTTTCCCTTCCATTTAACACTTTTGGGTGCCTCTGTTTAGGACTTACGACAACGAGGTGTAGTTGGTAAATTTGTAGAGTTCTTTGGTCCTGGTGTAGCATCTTTGTCCATAGCAGACAGGGCTACCATCGCTAACATGTGTCCTGAATATGGAGCAACTATAGGATTCTTCCCTGTTGATGAGAAGAGTATGTTGTACCTGAAACAAACAGGTAAAATTTGAAATTCAAAGAGGATATGGAACTGAATAGAATATGAAATTGTTCAGCATGTTACAGTGGAAGTAAGGGAACTTGGAAAAAAATTCCTTAGTCTCTGATGGGAATTTATCATCATCATCATCACYGTCATGTATCATCATCACCATCATGTATCATCATCATCATTAGTATTACTATCATCATCATGTATCATCATCATCATCATCATCATCATCATTGTTATTAGGGATTTGAACCCATGGCCTTCCATACTTTTGTTGCTCTATCAATGAGCCACAGCTAGGAGACTCTGTCATCATCATCATCGTCATCATCATCATCGTCATCATGTATCATCACCATCATGTATCATCACCATTATGTATCATCATCATCATTAGTATTACTATCATCATCATGTATCGTCATCATCATCATCATCATTATTATTATGGGATTTGAACCCATTGCTTCCATGTTCCTGTTGTTCTTGTTGCTCTATCACTGAGTCACAGCTGGGAGACTCTTTGTAAGCGTATAGCTAATACTGGGTTGTCTAGATTTGTAGTAATGGCTTGCGTTCTGCAAGGCTCAGATGCATGATTTTTATAATGAATTGAGTCAGTGAGATTGCTCTTGTTATTCATTTCCTTGTGGCTTTGTCCAGGTCGCGATGAGGAAAGAATTGCCATGATAGAGGCCTACCTGAAAGCCTCCAAGATGTTCAGAGACTACACCAACACTGACAACGACCCAACCTTCTCAGAAGTAGTAGAGTTAGATCTGTCTACAGTTGTCCCCTCCTGTTCAGGCCCAAAGAGACCACACGACAGGGTACCAGTGTCTGAAATGAAGGACGATTTTCAATCCTGTCTCAACAGCAAGACTGGCTTTAAGGGATTTGCGATCCCTGCTGAGAAACAGGCTGATAAAGTACCTTTTAAATTTGAAGACCAGGATTTTGAACTAAAACATGGTGAGTTTTAACTAAGGGGTGAATTTTTGTCTCATTGGGCGAAGTTTTGTAAAATCTCAGTCCTGGTGACAAAGTTTACAGAAATCCCATGTTGGTTAGTTTTCTATTCCAAGTCGACAAAATGGAAGTAGGGTTAAAAGGAGAGAGGGAAATGGATGAATAAATGAATGAATGGATGGATGGATGAATGAATGGATGGATGGATG